TATGTACCACAGAAACAATTTTTGTCTTGAAATGGGAAGCAATGTATGAAGAGAGTTTGCCATTGGGAAGATCAGTGTAGGCCTCAGCAAGCACTCCCAAACTTCTCCCCCCCCCAAGAGCATTGCCCCTCACAGGACTGCTGAAGGATTCAGTTTTAGTTTCATCAGTTATTTGCCTGTGTTATTTTTATCACAACAGGGGTGAACATTTGTTTGTCCCCATAACACAGTGAAGCACATAAAAGTAATTTATTTGTTTGATGCAGGTTAATTATTTCAGCTTTAGTTAGTACTGAAAATTGTATTTCAACAATTTTGAATTGATGAAAATGAGTTTTTTTTAAAACCCATCTAATATTTATTTCTGTCTGCTTTTTGATATCAACACAGTTAATTCTAACCATAACTTTTGTACTAAAGGCCGATATGGTTCATCAGTTATTTACTCTGAAGAAGTAAAAGAAAAAACATGGCACAAGAATGGCAGGACCAGAACCCCGGAAGAAGGCATTCAATTTCTTCTTACAAAATCTTCCCCGAATCTGCGCACATCAAGGTCACGAGAAAAAGGGAAATGGTCACCAATTAAGGAAGCTCTTAGAGGGTTACACACATTTTTCTTGGTCGCACCTGAGAAAATGCATAGAGAACTGTGAGGGGATGTGTGTTCTGATGTCAGAGTGCAAAGGATGAATGTTTACCTAATGTGGGTTGTAGTTTGCTTTCAAGAGCTTTTCATCTTATCAAATAATTACTACTGATATATACCTAGACTTTCACTCAACAAAGCAAGCACTGTAACTGGTTGATTCTTGGTCATGTGCCCCTGATCATATTCAAATGTATTCCGACTGAGATACAATTGCACAGTTGTTGCCCATGCACCAAATACAACAGCATGTTTTTGCCACATGATTGTTTAAGGGAAAGTCTAAACATATAACCATATGGTTCCTCTGGAAATTATTTAGTTTTGTTTCCCCTCTAGTCCTGATGTTTCCCTTGACTTTGTCTTGGGAAACATCTGGACTCTTGGGAAAACAAAACTAACTGTTTCCCTTAGGACCATACATAAGTGTATAATGTATCACTGTAAAGAGCTGGTCTGAGCTTGAAGGCCATCATGCAAAATAACTACAGCACTAAATAAGATTACAAAGAAATATAGCTAGAATTCAACAAACCTTCAACTGCCATGAGTGATTCACAAGCAGTTCTCCTCACAATATCAATTAATGGACCCACTAACAAGTGATGAGAATACTAAGCAATTATTGGATGAGGTTGAGCATAATATGAATTATCAATGCCAAGGTCTGAGTTATCGACCAAAGCTAAGGGCTAAGGCAGATAACAAAGGGATGAAAATGATAATTTATGATATCATGCAAAAACCAAATTTAATAATTGATTTATTATACATTTTTTAAACAATGGGTGTGCCAAAGTTTGAGAACACTAGATGGATGAGGGGCTTAGAAACTGGGAAGGCTTTGAATTCGCAATTGTAACCCAATATCTGCAGCAGATATTGGGTTATCATGACAACTTCACATGCTACCGTATAATGCTCTTAACCAATCGGAGTCAAAATAATAAGTCAAATGTGTAGTAGACAAACTTATTCGCTGCAAGCTTGATGGCACACCAATTTCTCTCGACCATTTCACCACCAGGAGTGTCAAACAAAGTAATTTATGAGATCTTGAGAAAAGGTTAAAGGGAGATAGAAAACACCAATTAGGAGCCAAGATAAAGTTTGAATTTACACAAAATTCTCATAAACAAAACTGAGGTTTAAAGAATATGTAATTACATATCAGAAGTGATAGGGTTAAAAAATTCACAAGGAAATACAAATGAAAGAAAGAAAAAAGAACTACAAATCCCACACTGGGATTACAAAGGTTCAGAAAGTTATGATCATATAGTTTGGACAAGTCAGAAGATTTTAACCTTCCAAAGTGCAACCTGAACTCTACAGTTAGCTGTAATTTTATGCCATTTCTAGGCAAGGGGATGCAAGTGTGAGGTAGGTGCCATGAAAAGGCAAGAGATAAGATGCCCAAGGGAAGAAGTGCAAAAAGAAAAAAAAAGGCCCATTAGTGTATATTTTTTTTACACCCCTGCATTTTGCATGATGCCATTTGTACTCCCCCCCACACACATTATGACTTGAATTGTCTCAAATGTGACTGTGCTATGTCAATAAGAGTTCACATCAAGAAGGTAACAAATAGTTTTATTCCACCTCCATCAAACCTTGGGATCTGTAACATAAAAATAGAGAAAATTTTGGGGCTAGGTTAAGAGTGTTTCAGCAAGATCACCCTTTCATGAAAGCAGCACCTAATTTATCATACAAAGTGTTTTTTTTTGTTCTATTTACATTTTGTAATACAAAATCTGTCAAAATGAGTGAAAGTGTAAGTCACAGGATATATTTAATATAACTGTTATAATGCTGATTTAAGCGATTACTCGTTATTCAAGGGTGACATTTTAAGATATCTCTAAAGAGAAACAGCAGATAATGATCTGAATTCAAATTGGTTTGAGCCATGAAAGATGTTATCCTGAATTGTGGTTGGTTTTTCAGAATCAAAAGAGAACTAAAACACCCTTTACACTTTTTTTAAAAAAATAAACAGCACTGTAATACATGCTCAAGAGATGACATAACATTGTCAAAAGAAAACTTGTCTCAGGGAAGAATAGCTCTGCTGTAAGGTTGTTTGCACTTCCTCAGTAAGTAACAACTTCAATTAGTAATACATTAGAAAATGATCTTATCTCCACAGTAAAATTAAATGTTTGAATTTTGGTTAGCATGACAAACCCCTTTCAAAAAGAGACTTCAAATATTTTTTATGCATATCTATTTTAGCCTAATTCATGTAAATGCCCAGTAAGGAAGCCTTCATGATAACATTATGTTCCTCCCTTGGCACTTTATTACATCAATTCAATATTCCACCAAGTGTTCTTTATTCAAAAATAAAAACTGCATGTCCCAATCCCTAACAGGATCTTTGAAAACCTATGAAAATTGAAATTTAATATCTCTTCAGCACTGCTCTTTAGAATGGTACAGTTAGGAGACAGTTGCCCTAGAAGGTCATGGAGGAAACTATAACATAACTCTACCATGCCTTACAAATCAGAAAAACAATAATTGCACACAACTTTAAAAGTGCAAGGATGAACAAATCTGGAGATAGTAAAATTACAGATTACATCCACAAACTTCAAACCTCAGCTTGACAATCTTTTTTCTCTCTAATAAATTTTAACTGTGCATGCAATACTTTCCATCACCAAAAATCACTCTAGCTTGATTTTTTGAGTGGCAAAGTTAAAGATAATTAAGAACATTCACTTGTAAATTGGAAGATAAGAACTAAAAGTGAACAATTTGTTACATGTACATCAAAGTCCTTCTAACCTAATCATTCCTAGGAAAGCAAATGTATTTCTTTATTGACTCTAGCCCCTTTTAAGATTGCATTTTGAATGACTGATAACATACTTAGTTTTGGCAAGGATAAATAGGCTGGGTACTTGTGTAATGTGAATCAAGTTCTGATAGAAACCAGAAATTATCAAAAGAATGTTGTTGGCATTATCTGTACTGGATACCAATATGGCTTTGTAGACTCGCTTGTGTGAGAAGCAAATTGTTACTTTAATACAGTTTGTAAAGAAACCCACACAACAAAACAAAAAAAATCATCTGAGGCAGACACTTAAATGAAAACTGCTATGTATATTGTGCAGCAAAGATAGTTGACTTAAAAGGAGTAACAATTCTACATCATATACTGCCCCCCTCTGTTGCTGTTTTGCTAGTATCAAACTGGTTTTTTTTTTTTAATGATCTAATCCTTTGTAGTTCATAACCTGTCTTGATACCACAGTTATGAGCATTTCACTGAACCAAAGCCTTGAAATGTCCTAGGTAATTATCTAATATATAACAATAAAATGAGTGGCCTTTCAAGCCCACATCTATGTAGAGGATTGATAAAATATATGATTGGTTCAACATGATACAAATGTGGAATTTCTCTCCCAAATTAACAAAAATCACCCAAAACTAAGATCCTTCAAGTGGGTTCTTTTACAATTACAAGTCTATCTACATGGCTGTTTAGCATCTACCACCTTATTAAGAGAACTTTTCAAGAGTGTTGTGTATGTGTGTGTGTGTGTGTGTGTGTGTGTGTGTGTGTGCATGCACAAGAATCCTTAAGTCTCTTACACTGTATTCATTACCCTTCAATCTTGTAGCTTTGTCTAGAAGTACATTTCTCTCATTTCAGAGGGCATTTTGCGGTTTTGTTCTAAAATAATAGTTTATCATTTAAACAGCAATAACAAGAAATATTAATGCTTATGATACTTTTAAATGGTACATAATTCCATTATTACAGTACCAAAAACAACTATACTTTTTGCTTTAAGTCATGTTATCCATGTAACCTATTACTTGGTTATTTCTTAAATACCTGGAGTCATGATGGTCACAAATTTTTGGTGATATTCCGTGACGACACCCAGTTTCAGATCACTGTAATTTGTCAATGCAAGTTATTCTGATAATCATGAAAACAAAGTGTTGCAAAAACTTCAAGTAATAAGGTGAATCTATCTTGGTCTCCTTCCATCCTACTTCACAAGTTCTCACCTCTTCTCAATTTGGCCCAGCCAATGTTGAATTTAATTTGATTAAATTTTAATTTTGTATTATTCAATGAATTATTTCTCTCTCGATGGGAATTTTAGTCCAACTGTAGAACCTTCTTTGTATGCAAGACTTATGCAGTAAAGCACTTTGTCCAATGCCATAAACATCAACTGATGCCCTTGTAAGTTGAATAACCACTAGTACCAAAGTTCTGCATTTGTCCCATTGGTCTTGGCTGCATCATTCCCATTGCTCTGTTTGTCATGGGCATCATGGGCACATTAGATGAGACTGCCATCTGACTCATGTTTGGACCCATCGTGTTTATTTGTGGTGCTGCCATGCCCATGACAGGGTAATTTGTGTTCATTGGTGGCATCCCCATGGGGTACATACCCTGCTGTGGCATGTTATAGAAGCCCATTGTTGCTGATGGAACTTGCTGCTGGTTTGAATACAACTCATTCATGCTTGGTTGAACTGGTTTGTCCTTGTGGCTCATGGGGCTTAAATTGTCTAGACTAATGTCAACTGGACTGTTTGACCATGTTGTTGATTTAACTGACTTCTGTAAATAACACAAACAAAACATCATCAAATTTCATACTCTGCAAAAAATACATATTAGTATTTGATCTAGTGTTGAATCTGTAGCCAAAAAGATATATCTAAAATTGCCCATAGCACATTCATCTGAAGTGCACACTGGTTTAACATCATAATTAGTACCCATGTGTCCTCTAAACCTCCACTAATACTATTATTTCCAGATGTTTACCTGCATGACAGATTACCTGCATTGGCTGATTTTATACATAAGGTAGAAAAAAAAACTGGCAGATTACCATTAACACCAATGGATAATCTACATCTTGAAAACAAAAGAAAATCATGAAACAAATCTCTAGAGGTCTAGGGTAAGTTATATGCATGTAGATATTACCAATAGCTTACCTGATGTAAAGGAGTACCCTCTGCCAACACACCTGAAGATGACTTTCCACTGGCTACTAATGGCTTTGAAGGGGTCATAGTCTGCGGTTTTATATGCATCGGTTGTTGATTTGGTTGCGGTTGGACAAACAGCTGAGAGTTTGGTATCTGGCCCTGCATTACTCCAGAAACAAATTGACTATTCATTACTGCAGACTGAACAGGTTGAGGCTGTAGCGAAGTTTGGGGCTGTAGCCCAGGTTGTGGCTGTAGCCCAGGTTGCAGCTGTAGTGAGGGTTGAGATAGTAGCCCTGACTGAGGCTGCAACCCAGGTTGAGTCTGAGGGCCAAGTTGAGGATGTAGCCCAGGAAGCATAGTGCTTTGTGGTTGAAGAGGTGGATTCACCACTGACTGAGATTGGGGAGCAGAGAAAAACTGACTAGCATTTTGAGGAACTACCTGGCTCACTGTAATCTGTGAAAATAATAATTTAAATAAATAATAAATTAAAATAATAATAATTGTTTTAATTGCCTTTTGGAAGGGGACAGTTGAAAACCAATTGTGACTAAAAACATTACATTTTAGTCAATGTGGTCTGATCAACATTTTGAGATGCAAGTCAACAATTATTGCATTAAGCTGTGCTTTCAATAATATTTGAAGTAGGTGGTTACCTCAGTAAAGCGCCCACCGCATAATGAAAAGGAAAGCAATTTCCCTCTCATAAACCCATTAGTTCCACTCAGAATAAAATGTCTTCAAATTGAGTTTTCAGCATTAAACTTTGGTAAATAGGCATTAAATTTTAGTTCTAGTTGTAACATTTGTTTAACTTATCATTTTATTTCAAATCAAAATCTTTGATTTGATGACATGCAAATCTGCTCCCTGAGTTTCCGTAAGTTTTTGGAAAATAAAAATCTTTTTTTTTTTCTGGCAATATTGTGTAAGATAAGATAATATTAGTCATTTTTATCAAAACTTGTTTATTGAGGTAAAGCTGTAAAAGATAACAAGAGGTTTTGGGTCTCACTTAATGAGTTTCTTTGAAAGCTCCCAAAATGTCACAGAAAGATTCAAATGATGGTAACTATCCAAAATTGTATAATACTAAACACTTTCAACAAGCAGTCGACAAAACCAACACATGACAGTATCCTGTGTGTATCAAATTTCCACACCAACACATTCTCAAATTTTCATGCTATGATGTATGTCAACAATGAATTATTGTGTTAAGCAGTGCTTTCAAAAATGTTTGAAGTAGGTGGCTACCTCTGTAAGGAACCCACTGCAGATTAAAATGGAAAGCAATTTCCCTCTTGTTAGCCAATTAGATCCATTCAGAATGAAAAGGCTTCAAATTGAGTTTTTGGTGTTAAACAGCAAATGCAGCTTTTATTTGTTAGTAAAAGGTTAGATGGTTGGTGTTCAATAGCTGATTTTGTTCCTCTCTTTGTAGCTAAGCCTAAGGTAAGCATTCTTAATGTAAACTTTTAAAACATCTTTACAAAAAAGTTCTGTTACATTCATTTTATTCCATTTCAAAGTTGAAGAATAAAGATGTTTGATTGCAAGCTTTAAAGAATTTACTTGACCAGGTAAGACAAGCATTTATAAAACACTATGTTAAAAACATTAGAAAATTTAGCCACCCTGGTTTTCTTTGGAAGGGTACTTGAAACATAATTAAAAAACTTTACAATCATCATGTAAGGTGGTGACAATTCCTTCCTTATCCTTTGGACAAGGAAGTTGGCAGTACATTGTTGGTGATTAAACCAATCACTTTTGCCTCCCTCACTGTTCCAAAGGTAACACACCAAACATTCATTACCATATCCACATGTAGAATCTTAAAACAGATACATAAATGGTACTCTTGACTTCAACTTTAAATGTGAAGTAAAAATGGAAAATGAAATAGCCATACTACATGAGAATTACGACATAAAGGAATCTATAAAGCCCCCTTGTGAAGGAAAAAGAGTAAGGAAGTGCCTCTGAAGAGTGGAAATGCGATTACAAAGGAATTAGACAGACCTCAAATCCTAGGATTGCAAAAAATTCACAAATACTTTAGGTGGCCCACATGTACAATGTAGGCTTATTGGAGGAGCAAAAAGGAAAAAAAAAAGAAAGATAAGATTCTCAACTTCACCTGATTAGACTGAGGTGTGGTATTACTCTCAAAACCAGAAAAAAATGCATCATCAGACAAATTGTTCTGGGGAGGACTTCCAGTGCGGAAAGCTGCAAAGTCACCAAAGTCATCCTCTTGCAGAGTACCTGCCAAAAGGAACCCAATTGATCACTATTTTCAAACTTCCTTTCCCACATTTTGATTATGAAATGCAAAAACAATGTCTTATACCACTCTTGCAATTTAAATTCAACACCTTGAAATAAAATGAAAAAAATTTGGCAAGAAACAAATAGCAAAGTAGCAATTTATAAACAGAAAATTGGATAACTGCTATTACAGTTCTGTACTGTATTTTTTATTCTTCAGGCACTCAAAGAAAGAACCCTGTTCTTACCATTGCTGAAATTCACATTTTCCACTCCTTCAATGGTTCCTCCCTCAGCAGGAGCAGAAGCAAAGTCTGCAAAGAAACTATCATCATTTGATGATGGCACAACTGAGGCAGGAGGAGCCTGAAAGGGTTGTGATGTGAGTGTTGCGCCAGCAGGCCCAGAGAATAAGTCCACCAAGTCTGAACCACTAGAAGATACTGTAGATTGAGCTACACTTGAGACTGGTTTTTCAGATTTGTTATTTGTTATGTCTAATTTTCCAAAGTTTGCTGCAGCCCCTAGATCTATAGTCCTTGATGGTTTAGACTGTAGTTTTGGTGTTGGATTTTTGGAAGAATCTGGACTGCTTGTGCTGTCTTTGTCTTTTTCTTCCTCTGCCTCCTCTGCTTCCTCTTCTTCACTGAAAGGAACAGTACAAGAGGTTAAATTTTAGACAGCTTTCTGTTAAATAACAAAAAAACCTTATACAAACTAGAGGCTGGAAATGTATACCATTACAGAAAAAACCGGACTGTACATGGCACCAAAATACACTCTTTGAGAGTTTTTACAACAGAGAAAATGCTAATCTACAAAAAGATCATTTCATGGCTACAGGTATATCCTTTATCTCCAGTCATGCAAACATATGTAATAAATATCACAACTTAAGAGCATCCATTCTCAAATAAACAAGTTACAACATACTTGTTGGACCATTTACTCTTCTGCTGTGAGGATTTTGGTAACCCAAAAGGGGTTTTTTAAAATCCAATAAAATACCATATTGATCTAGGAACACATTTTGTTCAACCTTTCCATGTACCTCAAGGCACTATCCACATTACAAACACCTGCTTCACCCCTTAAAATAAAGGAATAGTGTTACATTTCAGGCCACCTCATGCAATTTCTGTCACAATCCCCTTAAAAAGAGTGAATGAATCTCTCCTTACCATATATTTTATATTCTTAGCAGCATTAATTACTTGCCTGTCTGTGTGTCTGTCAGTGTCTCTCCTTTAGTTAATTATGTTGCTTTTGTCAGATGAGACAAACAATTTATATTTCAAACATACATCTACCATCTCTTTCTTATAACACAACAAACAGGCACAAAATTTGTCATCTCACCTGTCTTTGTCTTTGTACTCTCCATACGACCCAGCTCTTTCCCTCCACTCTCTGATTTTACTCTTACGTGTTGTTCTTCCATTAAACTCGTCAAATTGGTCTGCACCCCGAGGTTCAGAATCATACCGATCACCTGTGACACGAAAATTAACGACATAAGCCCTTCTACTCTCAAGATCTCATAAGTAGTTCTCCTTACATCTGCAATACAATTCTTACAATATTAGTTTGGAAAATTTGGTATTAGACCAACTTGTAATCTCCTGATTGACATTTTGCTCTTTTCTGTATCTGCCTTGATAACTTGTTTTTGAATGGGAGTTTAGGGGTTAACATGAAGCTAACAGACCCATTATTACAGCTGTAAATCTTAATGTGATTCTTGAGATATCAGACTGATGTATCAGTGACATTCAGCACACAAAAAAGGGAGTTACCAGATGCAAGTAGAAAATAACCTAAGAAAGGAGGTTGAATCACATCTTCTCTTGATTTTCTTAGAAACAGCATATTATGTACCACAAGAACTGTTACCTACTTTCAGCCTGATTTTTTTAAAGACATTTACATCTGGTAATGCAAATTTTCTAACACTATGCAGATTTTTACTTTTTTGCAGTTTATTAGACAGCACTTGTTCCAGTCACATATCATTTGATGTTTTTATTCAAGTTGATTATGAAAGATCAATTCTCATTTTCGGATATCACATTTCATTTTCTCTAAACCCACCCAACTTACTGACATGTTACATTAAAAAGAAGTTCTTCCTTGATCTATCAGTTCTTGACACCAAAAACAGTGCTTTTAACAAGTTTGCAAGTAAAAAGTATGGTAAAATGAAGTGAAAGTGGCCAGCTGAAGATGGCAGACTATTTGACAGTTTTGGCTGGCGACTGGTTCTTATTGACAGCTCTGCAAAAAAACTAAAATGGAGGCAGACTCAGTGTATAGAAATCTTGATTTACTTACTATATGATCTTGTATAGTCTTCGTTAGAAACTCCCTTGTACTTATCGCGGTTTTTCTTGGCTCTCTTTCGTTCTTGCTTCAATCTTTCATCGTCTTGGACCAACTCAACTAGGTCTTTTACTTTGTGTCGAACTATATTGTTAATAAAAGAAACAGTTCATGGATGCACTACCTGTGTTTTCCTACATTAACACTTGGTGCAGAAAAATAAATTCAGGCGAGGGTTAGAATAAAGCCTGTACTGGTCATTAAAAAGGTTTTTACTTCTTTTTACTATTATCAAATTTTTTGCTCAGAAAGGTTACAATACAACAAAAAATAGAAAAGGGTAACAAAGCGTTTTACGATTACACATGAACAAGGCCAAAATTAATATGTGACATGTTAAGTTTACAGAAAGGTGGGTATCATTCTGCAATTTATAAACCAATGTGGACATAATTTGCTTCCTAAAATAGATGTGATACATGAGAACACCTCAAGATTTCCCTGAAACTTTACACACAAGAAGAGGGATTTAAAGTTTTCCCTTTTGAACTTGTGACACAGGAAACACTGTTTTAGTAAATACAACACATTATTTATTTATTTAATTTGTGTGTGAAATGGAATCAGGACTTGCTACCCTCAAAGATCGAATACTATTACTGGCCAAGGTGAAATCTGTAGATTGTGAAAGAGCATGAAAGAAACTTAAATTTTCATTGACTGGATAAAGTCAAACAATGATCTGTTCTTTTAGAAAGTTTTACAGTTAACGAGCTGCATTATAAACAGTAGCTGCATCCCCTAAGGAAATGTGGGTTCCCAAAAAATTAAGACTTCTTGTGGAGGAAAAGCAAGCTTACGTCAATTGATAAGACAGAAGACTGAAAAAGGGAACTATGTTTGCTAGCTGACACACTTAAGATCATAATACACCCTTACTATCAAACAATCAATAAACACACGTATATAGCAGAATTAACTACCATGTAAGGCTACCAGAATGGCAGTCAAAATGTGCCGATAACGAGCAGAAATTATACGGTAGAAATCTAGCGCGATGCATTTTGTCCAAAACATCCCGAAGAAAGCAACTGGGTTGTGGGAATAATAACCACATATTTATTTCCAACTTTCGACCTTCCTCAATAACAATCAACGGTACACAAATATGCATCGACTGGTAGATATTGGTGCACTTCTCGATTGCCGATACACACACATCAATTCGTATCGTTAGTAATATCACTCTCATGATTCGAAAGAAATCGTAAACGGTTTCGTAAACTATGATTCACATACTGTTAATTCCTTGATCTTTCCCAAATTCGTCGGTGTGATTGAAGTTTTCCAGCTGTCTTAAATCGTAAATGTGGTCTCTCGTATTAGTTACCACCCGTTCAGACCCGTTCTTCACGAGATAGGTGAGAAGCAGCAAAGCCTATAAAACAGAGCCAGAAATTCCTTTACAGTGAACCATGTAAACAAACCAATAAAGATGAACAAAATGATTTACACAGTCAAACCTTGTATATTCTCCGCCAGTTCTTCTTGTTTTCGTGCAGCATTCTTTTCCATAACATAGACATGACCTCTGGAAAGTGCTCGTACGTAAAAGTGTACCTTGCAATCTCCGCCATTACTGTTCCGTGAGGACCCCAGCTATCGTCATTTGTGGCTTCCCTTACTTTGGCTTCAATTTCAGTGTAGTTCATGACCACATTCGTACTGTATAAAAAATAAAAGAACATCAACTTCGCTCTCTTCCTCAAATATGGTCACTAATATAGTCTCTTAAGGTATACCAATTAAACCATCTGGCAAACACTTACACTTTGTCCTGTAATTCGCGAATTTTCCACATTTTGGTTTGGATTATTTTATTAGCGATTCGAAAAAAAGAAATCAAGTCATTTATCTATCAATATAGCGACGATGGAGACGGATTGAAGTAATCCCCTTCGCCGGAACAAAAATGGCGTCTTAGAAGAAAAATTGTCATGACGTTGACGTCAGATGCGTACTTCAAATTTTACCGCTGACCACTGGAAGCGTAGGTCCCATACATCGCGGGAGAGGAGCATTCCACATAAATGATTTTGCCAATTTTCCTTCCTTGAGTGTCGACGTGAGACTCAGCTGAAAAAAGGAGACTCTATTTCCAAGCTTTTAATATACAAATGAGCTTCAGTTGAAAGATTTGAATGGAAACACAGGGAATATTAGTAATAATGAAGATAATTCATAATACACCACAGGTGGCCCAAGCTCACGTCTCGAGAAAAAGCCAACGATAAATTCATGAACGCGTCACGCGTTTTGTGACTCGGTGTTGAGTTACGGGAGGAACCGTTGAAAATTTGAACACGTTATAAGGAATAGTATGGGGAACGAAATATGGTCGATTTACAACGATAAATATTTCGAAATATGAATATTTTACACGTAAAATCAATAAAAAACTTACTCATGCCCTGTGTATCTGTCGTAGTTTCTGGCGATTTCTGCCGTTTTAAGCTTGCTTTGCCATCACTGTTATCCATGTCAAAAGACGAGAAAGAAGCGAACTTGGGAATTCAGGTAGAAAACACTCGTTTCCAGCGAAATGCGCGAGAAGTTTTGGTATTTAGACATGTCCCAAGGTGCAGCGAGCATAGATCGTAAAGTGTGACTGAGAAAAATGCCGATCGGGAGGATTTTCGGGGCGCAAACCACCTCCGCGTAGACCACGGTCGAAATCTGAGTGTGCAGCCTTGACTTCGTCTTTTGACATGGATAACAGTGATGGTAAAGCAAGCTTAAAACGGCAGAAATCGCCAGAAACTATGACGGATACACAGTGCATGAGTAAGTTTTATTGATTTTACGTGTAAAATATTCATATTTCGAAATATTTATCGTTGTAAATTGATCATATTTCGTTCCCCATACTATCCCTTATAACGTGTTCAAATTTTCAACGGTTCCTCCCCTAACTCAACACCGAGTCACACAACGCGTGACGCGTTCATGAATTTTCTCGAGACGTGAGCTTGGGCCGCCTGTGAATACACAAGCAGCCCTCTGCAAACTTTTTCAATGGGCAAAAATTCTTTTCACTACATTTTAGCCCAATACGATGAGTCCAGCACTTAAGTGGTTGGGTTCCAAGAGATAACCTGTCAGCCATTTAGAAAATACAGAGGGCATAATAGAGACAAATTAATCTCTTCTACAGCTTTGGATGTGTTTATAGCCAGAACATTTGATTCTATCAGTGTGCTGCTAGACCCAGTAGTATGAATGAGTACCTAGAAACTACCAGAAAAAAAGTTGGAAAAGTTGTCTGGTCACTCCTGGGAATTAAAGGCATAAGAAATAAAAAACAAAGCCAGTCAAAAAGATTGTGCAATACTGTACATTGCTTCCTGACTAACAAAAGTTAAACTAAGCTATAGTACAATCCTTGTCTATCAAAAACCTTTTAATTGTAATAATATCTTCAAATTTGTCAAAAAATTTTTTTGTAAGTCATAAACAACTTGAGGATTTCATAATATGAAATATCCTTTACATCTCCTTGGTCCATACTTGCATCCTGCCCATGTTTTGGGTGAATAAAGAATAAAAACTGTCTTATCTAGATTTCTTAATCACAAAGAAACATAAATATGCACTAACCCAAACAGGGTAAGTTAAAACCTCTCTCAATTTCATTAAAAATTTTCTTAATTATTGTAAAAGAATCTCAATAGGTGATCTCTATGAAGATGGTACTTGTAGGTATTAGTAATTTTCCTTGGATTCATAACATAGTTATATTATTTCATCAACATATTGATTAACCCTATAACTTCCAAGCTTTGATTGTTAATTCTCCCCTCTAGCTGCTACACATTTTCTTGTTAAGTAATTGGGAGAATATTGAGTTAGATCAAGATACTGATTTTGACCTATTAACCCTTTCACTCCCAAGATCTAATTAGTAGTTCTCCTTACTATCTTCCATACAATTCTTATGATGTTAGTTCAGAGAATTTGGTATTGGATCAACTAATAATCCCATGATTGATATTCTTCTCTATTCTCATCACCTGCCTGCTTGATATTGTATCGATATTGTAAGGAGAAATTCTGTCTTGGTCACTTGTGGGAGTGAAAGGGTTAAGTTTGAGTATCCTCATCGCCTGCTTTTATTAGTTATGGATATTAAAGGGAGAAATCACATGTTGATCACTTGTGGGAGTTGAAAGGTTATTCAAGCAAAATGGTTACAAATTTTTCTATGAAATGGCAACATTTCTGTTCACTCAGTTCATTAAGGAGCTGTCATGTCTTCCCTGTGACCAGTGCTCAAACAAAGCTTGAGAGTATTGAACAATGACCTTTTCCATCAAGCCTGCTCCACGTGGAAACAAGCCTTCGGTAAATCCTACATGTCCACCATGTTTGGTCAACACCATTGCAATGTTAGGACACCTAGAGAGTAATTCAAATGGAATTGACTCCTCTGGAGCAAATGGATCATCAGCAGCATTTAAACACAAAAGTGGTATATTAATCTTGCATAATGGCTTAGTATGTAGTGTTGCTGCTGCATAATATTCATTACAGTCTTTAAACCCAGACATTGGTGCAATAATTTTATCATCAAATTCTCTCACAGTGCTTGAATTCAACCCAGAATTGATATCACAATTAAGCTTAAGAGTCATTTCTTGAAATTTTGTTGATGACAAGTGTTCCTTCAATACGTTTTGCAATAGTTTTGTCAAATGACGATTGAATAAAAGGCGATTCAAAGGTTGCTCTAAGGAATTGGAGGTCTTGAACAAATCCCATGGAGTGGAGATTATCGCGGCTCCAAGAATTTCATCAGTGATATCACTTTTTCCTTCAGCCATTTTGCACAAAAAGTTAGTAAGTATTATACCACCGAGAGATATTCCTGCAACCATCACAGGACGGCGAGGTTGTTTATTTTTCAGATGACTAATGACATATTCCAGGTCTTCTGTGTCTGCCGCACAACATACCCGAGGCGTTTTCAACTGCAAGCCACCTAATCCTCTGTTATTCAACACAACAACAGCGCAGTTAAGTTTCTGACTGACGTGCAGGACAAAATGAAGAACATAGCCAAGTTGGCTTGTACCAGTCAAACCAGGTAATATAAGTACAGTGAGAGGATTGGTGGGGTTTTTCGTGTTACACCAGTCCAGCGCAATCTCTCCGCCATCACGAGTGCCAAGTATCTCTCTCTCATAAGTTACTACAGGGTGCGATTTCAAGACACCGCCTACAACAGTTTGCGCCCGGCCACCATAACACCAAATTGTTGGCCAATATAGCTCGGTGGCAAATGGGCAACGTTGCTTGATTAAGCGGTAGATGAACGATCCTGGCTTAGCAATGATCTTTGGTTTTCTTACGACAAATGTTAGATAAAAAACTATGTAAAGAGAAGCTGCGCTCATCGCCGAAAAATAGAACTGGGTTAAAATCTCCATTATTGCGGGACGGTCTGACCGTGCACGCCTGGGTCGATACCTTAGCAACCAAGCCTTACCGAGCTGATTGCAAAATGGCGACTAGTCTAACTGCGCGAAGGGCCTCGAATTTACTACAAAGAAGTGTACATTGTCGCTTTGTCACTCCAAACTTCATCTTTGGTGTGTGTAGAAACTGTTCTACTACAACGGTAGAAATTAAAAATGATAATACGTCAGTAGAAACGGCGCCAAAAATGCAAGAGGACGAGGAAAAGAGAAAAAGGAGAGACGAGGGTAAAAAACTACATGCTATATATCACATGAAAGTGGACAAAATCGCTGCGGAATTCCTCATGAAACGACAAGAGGAAGAAATGAATCTAAATCAAGAAATGCTTAAGAAGAAGGAACTGCAAAAGCTGGAGAAAGAAATGCACGACCGGATTATTGAAAGTGTCCATCTTGAGAACGAGCGAGTAAAACAACTAAGGTAGATATTATTTTTTGTCAAACTCTATAGTCTTGCTAAAACTGAAAAGGTGCTCATAACGCAAGATATAATTAACAATATTAGATAAATTAACTTTATCAACCAGACTCTGATCTAGAAAACTTGGAAAATCAAAGGCAAGTGTCGTACAAATGTACGAGGTATATTGTAACACTGGAATTGTACTGCAGTTGCTCATCTGGCTGCCGCTATTCTTGAAAAGGTTGAAGGCTGTGAGAAAAATTGACCAAAATTCTTGCCTTCAATTAATTTTGGTCAGTAATATGCTACTGATCCTTAAATATTTGTCCATTTCTTAATGTTTCGTACAAATCACTTCCTTGTTTCACCATATACCTTTTGGACACAAAAGGGATACGCCTTAAGGAGACTCTTGCCGTAAACAAAGTTGACTTTTGTACAGAAATATTCTATGCTCGATTATTCTCTTTCAAATGTCACTGCTGATTCCTCAAGATTGTAAAATTTTTTGTTACATTACCATGAAAGTGACGAATGACAAATCCATGGTGGTATTGTGGAGGGAGTTTTGTCTCAATTGAAAATACATATGTATGGAAAATAATCCTGTGAATCCTTACCCCCAAATTAATTAATTTGAATTTTGTGACACATACAGAAAAGCTCATGTCAGATGGTCAATCCAATTTAATGCATCATCATATACAACATTTGAAATTGCTTCTACTATGTTTAAACTTCAGAGCCTGATTGTTTTAAAGTTTTATTTATTTCACTCTTATGATCTCTATAGTTATCATAATTCTCCCTACTGTCTGCTGTACATTTCTTGTAATTTTAGTTTGGAGAGTTTGGTGTTGGATCCAACGACGATCCCTTAGTTGATATTTTTGTTATTATCATCACATGTCTGCTTGATATTGTATTAATTTGGGAAGAAGAAATTTTTTCCTGGTCGCTCCTGAGGAAAAAAGGTTTTAGAAAAAGATTCTAATATGTACAGCTTTAGAGGTCTCTTCTCCAATTTTCACAGTTTAGAGCCTGACTGAATGAAAGCTTTCAGGAAAATATGTGTGTGTCAGACATCAAGTTCATGGCAAATCCTACATTCCAATCACTGCAAGCTCTTTGTTTTAATTCATTCACGACAAATGAAAGGTGTAAGTTGCCACAGTTGAATTGCTTGGTCTCTGCTGGCAGTTATACTGTAGGTGTTAGTCTACTGTAGAGCTTTAACCCTTTACCACATAAAGTCATTGAAATGCAACTTCTCTCGATTATATCCAACATTATCCAGCAAAAAGATAATGAGAATACTTTAACTTATTAGGTACAGGTTGTCATCTTGATCTCACACCAAATTCTGGAAAGCAATTTGTAAGGAAATGTAGTACAGCTGCATGGCAGAATTAACAATCAGATCTTGGAAATCGAAGGGCTAAAAGCAATGGGAGGTTTTACCAAATACAGTTGTCACTGGTTGAAGAAAGAAAAAGAAGAATCAACTGACTCTAAAGCTTTAGTTTCAGAACAGTTGCGACCAAAGAAAAATCAACTGCTACTGAAGGGGCTGTTACTTGTAATGTTGGACTATGTGACTGTTTTCTTTCTTTTTTATTCCAGAGAGAAAAGACTTGAAAATAAAAAGCTAGAGGATGAAGAATGCGAGAAAGAAAAGGAGCTTTTAAGGAGGGAATGGGAGGCTAAACAGAGGCAGGAAAGAGTTGAATTGGTGAAAAAGCTGACTGTAAGTACTGTTAGTTTTGTTACAAGGGAAAGTTAGGGACTGATGTGAATAATTTGACGTCAAATGTATGCAACTGCCGACTGAGGCATGAATAAGAAATTCAAGTTCAACACGACCCTTTAACTTTCCAAAAACAGTGACTGAAACAGAATTTCCCCTTACAATGCAAATGTAAAGAAAAATATAAATTAGGGAATTATCAGTTGATCCAATTTACCAAATTCTCCAAGCCAACATCAGAAGAATTGTTTAGCAGATGGTAAGGGGAAGTACTAAATGAGATATTGGGTGTGAAAGAGTTAACTTTGTTTAGCTTTACAAATCTTTAGTATGAAGATCATACTTTCATTCCACCGTTAATATGTTCATTGTATAATTTTTTCTTAAGTTCATGTCTTTCAAGTGGGTGATTTGCATTCATACAGTGGTAACTGTTAGTAGTATTAAAGCAAAGAAACACTGAAAGAAAAAATCCTCTTGCTGCACATACAAGCAGTTTGGTTGATCTGAAGCTCTCTTTTGAGGTATATTTTGGGGCTAAATATCATGGGTACTGCATAAGTAAGTGGGAAGCACAACAGGACTTGCACTCAATACCACAAGATTAACCCTTTAACTCCAAGAAATGATTAACATGTAACCTCTCTCTACAATACCCATACAGTATCCAGTAAACAGGTAATGAGAACACTAAAACTTATCAGTTAAAGGTTGTTATCTTAATCAGTAAAACAAAATTCTTGTAACTAATTTACAAGGAAATTTGTAGCAGCTAGAGGGGAGAATTGACAATCAGATCATTGGAGGTAAAGACATGCACATTACACTTGCCCCTTTGAAGGTGACAATCAAGTTGATTTTCGTGCATTTTATTTCATTTTTGTGCAGGAAGAAAGCAAAAACTGGGTGACTGAAGAAAACCTAGAGGAGAAGATAGCTTATTGCCTGGAAAATGAAACAAACTACAACTTCGCCATAACACCATCAGGGGAGAGGATTTATTCAACCACTCCTCCTGGTTGTATAGACTCTGAGGAAAATGCCCCTGGCCCTGCAGCTTATTACCCAAAAGGACTACCTTCAAACCTTGAAAAACAAGAAGTGGATGGTTATTGAAAGAACAAACTGAAAGCAGTACAATACCTTGTACACGTACACAATAAAGAGGAGTGTAAAACAAATTTTACAGGAGCAACGCACCTGACTGAGTAATGCCTCCTGAGCCATCAAGTGCAACTAACTAAAAACTTTAGCCTCTCAATCTTCAGTTAAAAAATTTATGAAATCTCATGCATCTTGTGCACTAGGGAAAGGTATCTTCATTTGGTCAACAAATTGTTAGAGAAATTTTAAGGAAACACTTAAGTAACTGTCTGTTGTTCACAAACATTGATGGCTAACTTCGCTTTTTGGCTAACTTCCATCTCCCCCTTCCTAATTTCAAGCATAAGCACTCATTTTATTCACAGAATACTTTGGACGGTCAATGGAGCGATGGAACCAAACAGAAAATTGAGAGGAACATCTTTACCTAGGAATTTCCACCAGCTATTCAGGCTGTACTTCTGTTGGCTAAACTCTTAAGATTAGAACCATAGGAAAGACTCTCACCATTCAGTTGTAACTAACACAAAACCTCACTTAACAGTTCAACTACATCAATTCTTTATTAGTGAACTGGAGTTGAGAATAAAAAACTTATCAGCTAGAGGGTGTTTTCCTTTCAATAGCATAAAAATACATTAAACCCTCTGCTTTTTTTTTCTTGTCTGTAAACAGTGTTTCAGGGTTCATACAGGTCATGGAAAATCTGGAAAGTCCTGGAATTTCATTTTCATATTTCCAGGAATGGACAGTCCTGGAAAAAGATTACAGGTCCTGAAAAGTCCTAGAGATCTGCTTAACCCAGAATTTACATTATGAGAAATGTATGTAGACTGTAAGAATTGATTTTGGGAATGAGAGGGTTTCAGGTGAAATTCCTGGAAAAATCACTCTGAGTCCTGGAAAAGTATTAGAAAATTTGTTTCTGAAAATGGGTTTGAACCTTGTGTTTGAACAATTACATGCATCAAATTGAACACAATGACCAGTGGTACATGTAGAGGTAAAGTCTGGACACAGGTGGAATGGCCTACAAATTGGCACAGCTGCCCTTACCATGAAGCCACAAGGAATATTGCCACTAATCCTGGATGGAATCCCTGTCGGGCTTTTTGGATAGTTCATTTAAGTTCACGAGAAGGACTAGCCCAAGAACACAACACCATAGATTGTGAGAAGGCTCTTTTATTTGGAGAAGTCTGTTAAGCAAGTAAACCAAAAAAATAAGAGAAAAATAAAACTGATGTCAATGTGCTACAGGGAGCTCTGGAAGTGAGGTGCAGAACAGGACTCCCAGAGCTCAATCTTAGCTGTGCACAATCATCAATTTTTTTTTCACTTATTTTTTTTTACTTGCACAATGGACTTTGCTGCAAAGGAGGGACTGCTTGTTGACCAACTACATGGTGACTTTGCCAAGTCATGAACCCCTCCTTCTCCGCCCAAAATCCAGCTCAACTAACTGTTACACCACAAAATCTCTCACTCACTATAACCAGACCTACAGCTGTTTAGCCCTTTACACCCTATGGGTGATAAGCATCTAATTCCTCCATGCTGTATCACACCTGAATCACACATTAAAGTTACAAGAATAAAAAAAAATGATCACCTACAAAAGAAGCTCTTGATTTTTAAACAAATTCTTCATGTCAGAACCTTAGGAAATGTATAGAGAACAGTATGGAGAATATGCATACTGATGATAGGGTGTAAAGGGTTATTAAGAGCCATTCTGGGGCGTTGTTTGTGTGCTGACCCATCCACAGTCATATTTTTGGCACCACTGAAGGAAATTTCATTTGGTTAATTGAAATTAAAGTTGAGTGGCTGTCAAATGAACATAATCAAATACTTGAGACTTTCTGAGATGATGACACTGATGTGAGTGTATGTTTATTAACCCAAGGCAAACTGGTTGATGAGTAGTACTAGAACTAATACAAAAAACCATCTACCTAGTTGAGCAAACATTTAACATTCAATCTACATTCCCATCTTATCAATCCATGGTTTTAAGTCTTTACATTTTGTCTGGAGAAGAAATCTTTCCTTCATTTCTCATTCCACAAAATGTTGCATCATTATCTTGCAGCACTTTTTGCTGTTTTTCAGATTTCATCAATTGAATGGTGCAAATGGTACTAATGTACATTTATTTGTTTGTTTGTTCATTCATTTTAAAAAGTATTTATACTTAGGCTGTAATCTTACATGCTGATCCTCCAAAAGACTATAACCACTCTCTTAGTGTTTTTAGTTTGTTGTTGTTGTTGTTGTTGTAGCTATTGTGGAGGATAGATCTGGGTCTTGCACAACAGGACCTGTGAATAAAAGGTCGGCTCGACAGAATTCTCCAGTATCAAGATTCTTGGCCATAACCTGGTCAGGATCAACATTTGGTACACGATGTTCAACAAATATTCTCTTCAAACAACAGTCCTATTGGTTGGGAATAAAAAATATATCTTGGTAAGGAAAATATACTTTTTTTTTTTTTTCAATATTAAACAGGAAAAAAGTGGAAAGATAAATGAACACTACATTAATGAAAAGGGATTTGTTGACAGTCTAACCATAACTGCTTTGTAACTATGACAACAAGCTACCAAGGAAGGGAGGGGAGGGCATCTTGCTATTTAACCTATGGTGAAAGTTTGGTGGTGGCCTTGTTGAGATTTGAAAAAAAAAAAGAAAAGAAAAGAAAAAAAGAAATTATAAAAGTAAAAGAAAGAAAAAAAAGAAAAAATAAATAATTGTACAACTTAAACAAGATTAATGTGAAGGTATATCAGCATGTAGTATATAATATTACTTAGGAATTATCAGTCTGGTGAATTTGATTTTGGGCTTTGATTGTGCATGTTAATGTTAGTAAGGTACAAAATGATCATTCATTTCTCCCTCCTTCTGGAACCTGAATATTGACTGTCCTACACATGTGACTACATCAAAAAAAAAAAAAAAAAAAAAAAAGATACCATGTTAAAGTACCTTCAGATAATTAATTGCTGCCTGAGTGATCATGGAACACCCTGAAGCGTAGACTTCTTTCAGAGTTGAGCAGCAGCAGTTTGCCAGGGCAAAAACAGACCGATCTGTTAATCCTGAGACACCAGACACAACAACCTCTTCTAATGGACACATACGTGCTAACTCACATACACCAACATCAGAAACCTGTTCAATAAATTACCATACATTTATTTAACAAAGGAATTCTTAACAGTGAACTGGGTAGCTATTGTTGAGGTTATGGCAGAGGAAGACTACATGACAAGACCAGTGGCAGTGACACTTTTCTGGGAAAAGGTTGCAGTCTGTGGCAATTCAACTCTAAATTCAACTCTGATGACATGGAGAATTTGGTTGAAAATCATTTTTGTACAAATCATAGAATTTTTATTCTGCAATTCACTCACCAAAATTCAAAGTGCTTTGACCAGAGAAGGAAGGGGGGGGCTGTTTAAATAAACTTGTTGTTTTCCAAGCCCAGTCACAGACAAATTATTTTAACCAACTCAGACCATAACTCAGACAGTTAGAAAACTTGTTACTGAGAATATATGTTTCTTTTAAGTTCTCAGAGAAGAGTATGGAGATTACCTATACTAATGCTAAGGTATAGAGGCCTGAGGGAACATGAAAAAGGGAGGTAGAGTGAATTTCCATAGAAGAGTTATTGCATACAAAAAAGCATAATTTTGAGACAATTGTTAAATCAAGGCTACATACCAAGCCGCAGCCTTTAATGCTGACACGGGTAATTTGGTGACAATTTTCAGCAACTGCAGTCAGGAGCTGATCATCCACGTCTTTCATGCCCGCAAGCCGCAGAACAAGCAGCGAAGGACAACTTGCTGCTATTTCAGCTATAACATCTACAGAGAACTACAAGAGAAATCAGTCAAAAATATATCAAGGGAGAGTTAACTCAATTTTACATGATATATATTGCTGCTGCAGTTATAAATGATTCATAAAAATTTTAATTTCAATTGGCAACTAGCATCCATGAACAGTGCCACTGACAGAAAACATATTAAATACATTTCCTCACATTCCCAAAAAATTTTCTGACAATCATGCAAACCTGATAATTTTGTTAAATGTTCCTTCTCCTTTAACCCATGAGCATAATTATAATATAATGAATAAAATAATGTAAGATGCTTTTCCTATAATAGTTTATTCTAGGTGATGGTACACTCCTAATGTGAGCTTTATTTACAAATCTTAGAAACGTATTGCACCATTCGGTGTTTTTCAATTGGATATTCAAGTATTCAGCATTTTAGTGTAATTTCTTTTACAAATTTTTGCATTTTGGGATATTCTGTGATTCCATGTTTTAGGATATTCCACCATTCTTCCAAATGGGCTCACTCATCTTTATTCTTTCCCAGCTGCAGCACTATAAGGTAAAGGTAAAGAATCTGATCCCACCGATGCATCGGCCAACACACTACCGATGCGTTCCGATGCATCGGCCAACACACCACCGATGCGTTGGCCAACACACTATCGATGCCTTGATAAGATCAAATGCATTGGTAGAAATCTAAATCATAACACTTCACTTCAAACTCACCATTTTACATCCATTTGCCACAAATGCTTTGAACTCTTGCCCTCTTTTTGGGCAGCGGAAAAGAGATTTCAAGCTCTTGCCAGTGATATTTGGGCAGAAAGACACTTTAAGAGATTCAATGGCTTGACACTGTTTGCTGATGGCTGAAAGTCCAGCATCTGTTAAAACTGCACAACCACTCAAGTCTAATGATCTCAAGGTTCGCCCTGCAGCTGAACAAATCTGCAAAATCAATAGGAAAAAAGGTCAAATTGTCACTCAAAGCAGACAAGACGAGATCTTTTATGTAGAGTCATTCCCAGTTCTCCAACATAACCTGCAGAGCCCCTGTTGATACCAGCCTTAAGTGTTGAAAGGGTCACCTGGCTTAAAAAAAGATGACTTGACTTAACTTCAAAATTTTAATGGTCTGACACAAATTGCTGTGCCTTTCAGATCACTTTCATGCCCTCGCTGGTTCATCTGATTTTATGTACATTACCACAGACTATGATGGCTCTTGATCAAAGGATGATACATGTACTAAATGTATCAAATCTGGAAAAATAATTCAAACTACAGCATACACATTACCAAGGATTAGCATTTATCTGTGGGGCACTTTCTGGGATGCTAATTAAAATAAAATTTTGTAACAGGCCTTAAAAAAAATTAATGTACCCCTCAGAATTGTTGAGAAACACCAACAGGGTTTTTTCTTTTCAATAATTCCATACTTACTTTTTCTAAAGAATCATCATCTACTGCCTTCATTCCACACAAAGTCAATTCTCTTATATAATCCAATTTTTCCACAAGGTCAATGAGTAATTCTGATGACATTTGCACTCCATGTAAAGTCAGTTCCAGTAGATTGGACGGGAATGCATTTGCTGTCACCAATGTTCTGCCATCATTCAAAATTCTGTAGCAGTATCCAATGTCCAGGCTTGTCAAGTTAGGACAGCCTTGAGTAACCTGCAGTTAATGATAACAGAGGAATCTTAATCAAGACATCCAAATTAAAAATAAAATTGAAAAGGACAATTTAAGGCTAAGATCAAAATAAAAACTGATTATTTTAATAATTAATTTGGTTAAAAAAATGTCCAAATCCAGAGAGAATTCTAAACAACTTACAACATACATGCATCTATGTTGGGCTGAAAGTCATAAATAACATTACCATTTACAATTATTATAATTAATAAATCTTCACCAAAGTGAAGGACTGGCTAGTCGTAGACATTTACCAAGCAGTGAAGAAACAAGATAAATATCCACCACTAGCCAGTCCAACACTGAAATGAAAAAGTTGTTTTGCTCTGTACTAAAACTGGGAGATAACATAGCACAAAAAGGTGATTTTGACTCATTTATTCTTGCAAAGAATGAAAAACTTCTGAGCGCAATTTATGTGCAAGTTACTTGGAGATTAATAGCAAAGGATATTGGGAGTTTGAGTAGCCAATCAGAGCACACCTTCAAGGCTATCCACTGTTTTAGAATAATTATTGAGTTACTGATGAATAGATCTAACTGGCATTTTATTTGAAATGCTGCAGTCTTGTTGGCTTAACACCACTCACTATCTTAATTAACTGATATTAAATAGAAATAAAATAAGGCATGGATGAGCTTGAATTATATAACAAAGGTATGACTTCACAGAACTTCAAAGATATTGATTTGTTCCTTTTCATGATCTAACTGAATCACATGGTGACAAGCTTAGGAGCAGAAGGCTGTGAACTAAGATCAGTGGTACAGTCCATTTTTCTTTATCCTTTGATACAATTTCAGTGCAAGCACAGGGGACCTTTTCAACAGGTTTTTTAACATTCAAAATAACCAATTGTCCAAACAACCATATTTGATGCATTAAATGTGTGTATAATTTGCACTACACTTAGCACTGTTTGATAAAATTTCTTATTGTACCTGTAATAGTCCTGCTCCTGAAATCATATTGCAACCAACAAGAAGCAATCTGTTTGACAACAAAAATGGAAACAACAGTCATTTCACAGGAATTAACCATGCATAAATATAATGTAGAGAATGATGCCTGTGTTGTCAAAGATTTAACTATGCAGAAAGACTCCCAAAATGTTAAAAAGGCAGTAAATCACAGGACTTGTAGTGATCAACAAGTAACTTCTCTCTAAAACATCCAAACATTAGTCAGCAAACAGGTAAAGAGAATACTAAAACTTATCAGGTAGCAGTTGTTATCTTCATCTAACACACAATTCTCATAACTAAGTTACAAGGAAATGTGTTAGTGGCAGGTAGTGGGGAGAATTAACAATCAAATCTTAGAAGTTGAAAAGTTAACAGAGTCTAATTGCTGATCAATGTTTGAGAACCAATTGTCATTAAGGTCACATTTTGTTCTTTCTCCTCTTTATTAATTGCTCGCTTAAACCCTATTTTTTTTTCCTTATGAGGACCAGAATAAGATGTTACTGTAGGTATTAACCCTTTACACCCTAACATCAGTATGTATATTCTTAATACTATTCTTTATATATTTCCCAAGGTGCTAACAAGGAGAACATGCATAACAATCAGGAGTTTCTTTAGCTGGTGATCATTTTCATTATTCTCATAATCATACTGTTTGATTCAGGGGTGATACTGTGAGGAGAAATTAGATGGTAATCAAACTTAGAGGGTTAATAAGCAAGCAGTGCATAATATCTTACTCTCTGAGCTTGGGACAATCACCCGAACCAATGGCAAGCAGGCTAAGATCTGTCAATAAGTGTATTTCGGACAGCTCCAACACTTCCTAGTAAGGATAAAACTCATTAGCAAAGAGAAACTCTTTGCAGCTACTTCATGCACGTACAAGAAGTTGAAGTTTAGCACCTAGTAAAAACTAATAACAAAATTCTTGAACAGGATTGGTTATCATCAGCCCAATTTGAGTGCTAATAGGACAGTGTGTGCATCATGCTTGTCATTGGACAGTGTGCGAGTATGTACTCATCATTGGAAAGTGTGAACATCATGCTTGTCATACATCATGCCTGTGTAAATACACAGTAAGCCTCAAGAGCATGCAAGAACTGTTGTTGCATTACTTTCCAGGTTAGCTGTTTTATTCTTTTAATGAAAATGCATATATATCAATTCTAAGACTATATGCAACAAACAATACAGTCAGATAACAGTCTCTTTTAAGCCTTTAACTCTCATGAGTGACCAAGACAGAATTTCTCCTTACAATATCAATACAATATCAGCCAGATATGTAATGAGAATAAAGAAAAATATCAATTTGGGGATGATTAGTTGATCCAATATTAAATTCTCTGAACTAACACTATAAGAATTGTATGGTTGACAGTAAGGAGAATTATGAATTTGATCTGGGAGTTAAAGGCCTGGGTTAACTGTCTAAATATACAATTAACAGATGGTTTGAGCTGATCTCAATCATCTGACCTTCTTTGGTAAACTCTTAATCATACTTGTATTAAAATATACAAGTACAACCAACAGTTACATAACTTACCAGTTTTCCTTTCAAAAGTGTACGTGTAACAGTTTCAATACAACTATCATTAAGTTCTTTGCACCCTGGCAGCATCAATTCACAAATATTTGGACAATTCTTTGCCAAGGTTATAACTCCATTGTTGCTCAGCTGATCAATGTGATCTAATTTAACAGATACTAATTTTGAAGACCGTAGTGTTAATAAACACTTGTCAGTGAGATGGACTTGAAAAGAACTCAGTTTAAGATGCAGAAATTCCAAATCTGTTTGTGTCTTTAGGAGGGAAGATAATCCCTTATCTGAAAAAAACACAACAACAACAACAGTTTAACATCTAACGTAAGGTCATGAAACCTATTTGTTGTCCATTTACAGAGGGCAGGTAGATTTGCAGATCAGTATGAATTAGGCCAAAAAAAACTCAGACTGCCAATTTTACAAACAACACCTAAGATCAACAGCTTTATGAATTCCTAAAACTTTCAGCTTGGATACCAGGTTTCATCTGTCTAGAACTTCAGACAGCAAGTTGCATCTTAAATCTGCTGTCTGATTCAGTCAGTTCATAAGTATGAATTAGGCCAAAAAATCAGTCAGTACATCAGTATGAATTAGTCCAAAAAAACTCCGACTACCAATTTTACAAACAACACCATGGATCAACAGCTTTATGAATTCCTAAAAATTTCAGCTTGAATGCCAGATTCCATCTGTCTAGAACTTCAGACAGCAGGTTGCATTTTTAATCTGCTGCCTGATTCAGTCAGTAAGTAAGTGTTACCTCAACTTTATTTTTAAAGTTGTCATCATTTACAGAAAGTTAGAAAACTTTTCCAGACCATGTCAGCTTAGCAATTCAATTGGAATTTGCTCTTTACTTAACACTTCTCAACACTATTCAATAACAAAACTTGGGTGAAATCAGTATGGACTATAGAAAGGAAGCAAAAACTACATACATGTATTAATATATAACTAACTGCAGACAGTACTATTTCGGCCTTCTGGGCCTCATCAGTGCAGTGCTAATGCTGAAATGGAGGTAAGGCAATATAACCACCCAAAGTGATCTCACACATGTGGGATCATCTAAGCCATACCAGAGTGCTCAAACTAGAAAAACTAGTGAGCATGTACAATGCTAGCAGCAATGACTCATCCTAGTAGAGTGCTCAATTTGGACATGAAAGCAAAGCTTTGTATGCCAAAGAGCTATATCTTATCTTATATTAATATATATATATATATACTTGTTTGCAATCAACTTATCCCATGGAAAAGTTTCAACCCAGATCCAGGTGGATGAAAGTAAGGTGAGACACACACAGATTGTGATAAAAAATTAGCTGATTCCCATCCCCCTATCCACCCTCCTGTTCCACCCCCTAGTCCATGAACCCCCTGTATTGAGTGACATCTGCCTTTTAAACCTTTCCAGACAAGATAAAAAGGCAGTGTATTCATTTTATTGAGAAAAAGAAGGGAAAAAAAAGCATAGGAAATGAGTTCTTGAGACAGCACCTCACTAGTTAAGGGTATGAACTATGGTGTGTTCCTCTAAATAATTCAGATCTGGCTTAAGGATCAACTAAATAAAGGCCAGAGCAGACTATTAGCTTCAGGTCACTGCAGCAGGTCTGTGCAACAAATGACTCTGCATGTGTGTGCTCTGTAACAACAAAATTTTAATCATAGGGAAAAGATTGACAGAAAACTAATCCAAGCTAGTTGCGATGCAAATTGGCAATGTGACTTGCCCCATGACCTGTTGTGGAACCATTAATGCCTAATGTTTTGCAAGCCTTTAAAGGAATTAATGCAAGTTCAAAGTTCTGTCAGCACCTTAACTTTGTGGTACCACAGTGAAAGCGATCATGGTTTAATGATGATCCTCAGTGGTGAGATTCCTTTAACAATTAATTTATAATACATGCGCTCATTCACCTTGAAGGAAATCACTTTCCTTGTCAAAACGACCAGGCAATAACAAAATTCTTCTTCACCCAACAGCTTTTTAACTAGCGAACAATGTTCACAAGCTAAATTGTAATTTTGTTCATCTTTCGAGACTTCGAATAACGTCGCTATCACACAGTTCCAGAGTACGTGTATGTTGCAACCAGATGCAGCGCTTATTACCTTGTGACCTTCGTTTTAAAGAAATTTCGACGATCTCGACCGTGATAAAAATCGTCTCCGTAGTCCCTTACAAGAACTCGAATCTCGAGAGATACTATATGCAAATTCTTAATTTACCCTTTCGAACTGATTTCGTTTAAAATATCGATTAAAATTAAAAATTTATCTTTTGCTAGGTTTCGAAGTGTAATTCGAAGAACCCAACAAGATCAGGGTCCCTTAACTACGGGACGATCATGACAAATCAGGACTGAGTCAAACCTTTTATTTAAAATTCTTCACGTACTTTGTTAAAAATCGACTGTGAAAGAAAAAGAAGCACAAAAATACTTTGACACGCCATGCAAACATATTCTATTTACAGTTGGCTTCCATGCACCCTCGAATTCAACGAATGTTTTCTCACCTGATACCTGCGGGCAATTCTTGAGAACAAATGACCTCAGTTTGCAACGGGAGAGAGCTAACTTTTGGAGCAATGCATCGTCCACTTGACCAGAATAACCAAAAGCAATGTTGGTCAACGTCGGTGAAAGAAGCTGTTTAGTTACAAATGGAATCCTTTTCGCTGTAAACATATCATGGTCGCAAAGCAATTCTAGAAGAAGTTCTTTGTCGTTTTTGCACAGTGATGATCCTGCTCGCTTGATATTTTCGAGGTTGTTAGCTATACAGAACATGCACAAGTCTATCAAAGATTTCGTCATGATGAAAAAGAAAACAACACGCAGTGGATGAAATCACAAAGTACAACTTCAACTTCATCTCTATTTTTATTCAATTAGTTTCCGAGGAAAACTGGGGCGAGTGGACTAAATTGACAGTTTAGCTCTGACGAAGGGCTAACGCTCGAAACGTCAGCCTTTTACTCTTTACGGTGACCAATTTACGTTTTCAACTCAGTTGTTAACACTAAATTACCTGCTATACTCTCCCACCGACGCAGCATCACAGTTTCTTTAAAAATGTTTCCCCTTTTTATTAAATTGACAGTTGATCGTCTTATTACGACGTGGATAGTAACTTTTCGTCTGCTTTTCATGGAGAAAATTTCAGCTTTATCGGCTGGCTCTGATTTTAACCCGGCTCTTGTTCATATGGATATGTAGTGAATTCGCCCTGTTGCAAGTTCGCCCCCAATCATTTTGCGAGTTGGCCGGACTTCGCCCTCTAACGTAAAACCAGTTCGCCACCAAATGATTCAACTTGTCTGTTCTTTTAATTGTTGCCATGAAAGGCTGCGCCCAGCGACACCCGAGTGCGAATATTGAATTACGAAGTCCATGAAATGTTGTAAAAGATTATACGGAAATCATTCCGATGGTTTTTGCCTTTTCTATCAGATCTCGATAACTGAGCTAAAAATGTTTCATATGGAAAGAACTAAACTGATATCTTAGTCTTGATTAATCTAGATCCTCATCGATAACTGGAGAAATTTCTCCCGCTGACCCACAGGATACCCAAGCCCATCGTGCGAAACGTGAATCCTTGCTTAGAGCGGTGTTAGAAGCAGTTCAGATGACTTAAAATTAGCACGTACTTGGTTAATTCCGTCGCCTCTTTCATGCAAGACTTCCATCTAAACGGCCAAGGAGGCGTGCAGCCAGAAAAGAAAATGTAACAAGGCGACAGAGAAAGCAGAATTTATATAAAAAAAAATTGCATGTCATACCTTAGATGGAAAATAGACTGATAAGTTTCCATAGAAACCCATGTAAATAGCCTCTCTATAGCACAACACTGCTCGTAAACAATTTTGTTGGTTGCGAGGTTGGTAAAGATGCCCCTTTGGTTAATTTTCCCGTCAAACACTCTTGGCTTGGTAACCGGGATGAAACTTAGAAGGCCCTGTAGTGTTTTCGTTCTATCTCAGTAACCAAGCTGAAATGTCCCTTTTAAACATCAAGTGCCATAAATCAGCCCTATTTTAGCACAGACATGCTGACATTGGTTTCGCAATATCAGCTTCGACTGAATTTGTACAGTTACCTAGAAGAGCCTCGCTTCCGTGCTAACCCAGAGATTGGAGGGCTCTCAGACGTCCTTTAAACTTTACCGTATGTTTCCTAACTAAAAACGCTGGCTTCGGCGGGAGATTTCTAAGAATTAAGCATCTAAGTCATCTCGCTAACTGAGCCACGAATCGTGCAGGAAAATTGTTTAGTGAAAAGGAAAAAAAAATTTTTTTCTGCTAAACGAGCCAGCTGCGATCAGGTATGGAAAGGATATGGTAGAGTATAATGCAACCTGTCAACCACCTGCCGCTAGGTGAGATAGATATATATTTCAACCTACAGTGCGTGCATTCCTGAGGAGGGGGAAGTTAAAACATTATATCTGTTCTGCCTACTAAATGAGCTGTTCTCAAAACACTGATCGTATTCTGGCTAAATACCCAGAGCATACTCTCTTCTGAGTTCTCTGTGTGGAACAAACGTATCTGTTACCTGTTGCGTCAGGGTCAACTTGAGACCTACAACTACCTTAATCTACGGCTAAATATTTTGCGGTGAGTGCTTTTTTCATTTAATGAAAAGCTTTCGGAGAAAATTCTGTTAATCGTTTGGCAAACTGTTGTATAGTGAATTTCCCATCGTAAAAGAACCAAAATTAAGTCGATTTTTATCAAATCTGCTTAAAAAATTAACTCACAAACCGAAGCAAAACTTTCGACGGCATTTTCGTGGTTTCATCCTGATTAATACCATTACGACACAGACTAACCGATTCACTCATATAATTACAGATTTAAATCAATTATAAACTCAATTTGGTCTCAGCTGTTGATACATATAACGCATATCCATTGTATCCCGCGAGTTCTGGTTTGTGACTGTTTCCCATTTCATCGGTGGTGCGATCAATTGATCTGACTGACTTCACTATAAGCTGGTCTTCAAAAAGTAAATTTTCAGTGATAAATCAACAAATTGTCAAGCACAACTATACTTCTTAAAATAAGCCTTCTTATTTTGCCACTGTCATGGCTTGACAAGGAATAACTTGCCGACGATTGGATCGGTAAATTTGACCTCTATGCCGCACCATTACAGCTGCACCAGATCCATTCATTTCGACTCAAACACTACGTTACCCGCCTATGTAAGAATATTCTACTATAGAAACCAACCGCTAGTTATCAAAATAAATGCACTTCTTTCATTACTAGTTAACCCAGTATTTTGTCCAATACTAAGCGGCACACTGGTAATAGTATATAACTCCTCTCTCTTTCTATGTTAGATTAGTTGTTTTATTACAGTGACCAGTCAATTTTTCTATTTTTTCCAAGATAATTTGGTTTCATCAACTGAACTGATAATGTAAATTGGGCACCGTAAAAAGTATACCCCCTCCCACCAACACCCAACAGTGTCAGCTTAGCACCTTTAGTTTCTTTAAAAAACTTACACCCGTTTATATATTTTTTCCATTTTGTCTCAGGATCGGACTCATCATTGAAAATCATCGCACAGTCTTTGGCAAATTTCTCAGCGTGACGAATAAGGCCTTCAGCATCTCTACGCACCTGTATATCGGCTTTGACTCATGACAACCCTGGGTATCGATTACTTCAGAAACCCTCTTCAACTTGGATGTCAGCCAAATAGCCCATAACTGCCTTTAAAGTTAAGCTTTCTACTCCCTAAAAATTAAAAGGATGGATCAACAAAACAGTGACATAGAAAATACTCCTGCCAAGCCAGACGATCAGCAAATTTCGTCATCACCGAGTGACAAACAAACTTCGCAACTAAAACCCCGAACTATCGGCGGCTTCCCAAAGAGATACGTTCTGCTATTGATGATCTTCATTGGATTTGTAAATATCTACGCCATGCGAGTGAACCTTAATGTGGCCCTTGTGGCGATGGTGAACAATCAGACAATCATAAAGGAAGGAGTCTCAATAGTTAAGGTACATGAAACTTCGCCGCTATGCGCAGCTGACGGTTTTGTATGCGCAAAACAAGTTACGACCGGCCAGGCTGCGAGGCTTGTGACGGAGGAAAGTCTTCTACTTGAGGCTTCGCTGCTCATCACTTAGTGCACATTTTTAATCGAAAGCACTACAGGATTACATTGGTTTTTCTTACCCATGTTCTACGATCGGTTTAGAAAACTCACGCAAATTAAAAAAAAGAAGAAGAGGCAAATCTTAAAACAGTCGTGGTATAGTCGACAGAGTAGTTTTCAGTTGATTGTCGAAAGTAATCTGGAATAGGTACTTAAATTTCTTTTATTACGCTCTTTGATTGGTTCAGAAAACACGCGCCATCCTTTTGACCAATCAGATGAAAAACTAACAACAAGCGTGACTGTGACTTGCACGTTCACCCGCGATTTCCCGCGCTTCAAGCAGTTAGCTTGCTTTGAATTCCCATTGGTTCCCTGTGACATTTACCTTTGTTCTGATTGGCCATTGTGATAACTTTGATTTCGCTTATACGACATCCAAGAATGCGCCTTTTGTGTATATTCTTAGAAGAAGTTTCAAAAACTTAAATATAACAGTGAACAAGATTAGATGGTGATATATTGAACATAAGGTTTTTATTTATTTTCGATACACGTCACACTTTTTTTTAATTAGATGAAGGACCAAAATATTGAATTTATCTGTTTAAGTGTTTTTTTCCTTCAGTTCCAATACTAAACCAGATTCTTCAATTTTTTTTTTAAAGCAAGCTGAATTTGATTGGAGTTCAAAACTGCAAGGTAAGATTGATGGCCTTCAAATAATAGAAATATTTTTTAAGGGAAAATACTGTGAAACCTTGCATATGGCAGTCTAGCTTGGGGAAAGTAACGACTACCAATTACTTATCGCCGCGAAGCAGACTTGGGAGGGAGGATTGAGGATTTTTGTTGCGTACAAATAAAATTTACCTGATCACCCTATAATGCTCTGTAATATTCCCGTGATCCCCTCCCCCACTCATTGGCTGTTAATAAGCAGTCAATTTTCTATATTTCCTTCTTTGTACTACGTTGAAGACAACTTATGCCCCTCCGTCTCCCCTTAAGACAATGCGACCCCCCCCCCCAAGGTAATAAGTGCAAACTAATCCCCGAATTTCAGTCATCGAACCACAAATCCATCGATTTCGTGCATAAATTCCGCCGATGAGCTGAATTCGATGTCAACTGCGCGGCTGAGGCACATTTTAATAATGAACCAACTTAGTTATTTTTGTTCGTTTTTAGGTCTCGTCCTAGGCTCATTCTTTTACGGTTACTGGGTTTTACAGATCCCTGGAGCCTGGGTAGCACTTAAAATCGGTGGTACTCGCGTGTTTGGTTATGGAGTACTTCTGACGTCACTACTGGCTATCATTACTCCAATTGCTGCAAGATATCACGTGATGGCTTTAATCGGTGTTCGAATTTTTCAAGGTTTGTTTTTGGTAAGTCATAATACAGCATCTTTTAACGGGGTCTGGTTGAGCCGGTAAAATTAGGGCCAGAATGACCTTTGACGACTTGATGCAGGTCAGGGCACACGATTAACGAATCAAATAAATCCAGCATTATACGTAAAAGGAAACGTCGGAGGTTAACTCTGTCGAGGATGCTCTCCAAATAAAATATGAAATAAGCTGTAATAAATATAGGAATGCAAGAACTAGCGAGAGCCTTGCTTACTTCCTTAATTTACTTGGAAAATACTCAAATCCTGCTCTTCAAATATTTCCCTAAGAAATGTATTCCACTGTTTGATAATTTTTGGGAAAAAAAATAAAAACAATTTACG